GGCCGCCTCGCCCCGGCCGCAGCTCAGTTTTTGGGGAGGATTCGAGCAGATTTGGAGCGCTCGCGTTCCAGGTGAACTAGGTAAAGGCTTCGAGACTGCTTTTCTTGCTAGCAACTCCTCGTTTAGATACAAAGGCCAGTTTCCTTCCCCGTTGTAATTTTAATGAGCTTTGCTAATGAGCAGCTCATCAGCGCCCTGCGCTGAAATCCAGCGGGGCCGCTGGGAGAGCTCAGGGAGCGCCTTCAGTGCGAGCCGCTCCCGGTTCAGCGCTCCGCAATCACCGACGGGACTGCCCTCGTGCTGCGACTGCTGCACTGAACACATCCATGGAAAAGCCCCTCAAATTCAGCAGCATCTATCGAATATCGAGTTAATTTTCCACACAGAAATCAGACAATATTTGGCTTTTTCGTTTGTTTAGTAGATGGAAGAGTCACGAGCTTTCAGCCAGCTGGAAGGAAGGAGGGGAAAGCCTCAACCCTTCCAATCCATCAGGTCCTGGGGGACCTTGGTGCCAAATTCAGCAGCCCCAGGCCTTGTCTGCTGCTGCACCCAGCTTGGCAGAGTTATTTGATATTTTCACTGGCTCATGTAACTAAAGTAAAGTTAAATGTAAATCTCATCCTCCTCTGGGAAGTTCTGCTGTGCTGCAGGTGGCTTCCAGAGCTCTGGCTGTGCTTAACAAGGTTCACCAAACCTTTGAAAGGGAAGTTTGTGCTCCCAAGGAAGCCTTGGGAGATCCCTCAGCCCCCCTGGGGGATCAGTGCTGCTCCTGGGCATTGTTCTGAGCCTGGGTTACACAAACACCCAGCGATGGCAATTCCCAGCAGCTCACTGTGAACCACCTGGGTCTCATTCCTGAGCAGATCCTCCCTGCCCGCTCAGCAGCAGAGGACAGGAGCCCTAAGAACAGCCCAGAATTGGTTTATTGGCCCATTCTGCCCCATCTGTTCAGGCCTCCTGAAAAGCACAGAATTGGTTTATTGGCCTGTTCTGCCCCTTTTCCAGCGGGCCCTGGGGTGCTGCTGTTGGCAGAGAGGCCAAGGAGCTTTGGCTGCTTTCCTGGAGCACTTGGAGATATTGAGAGAGCTCCTGCAGGGAATCAGAGCCGGGATTTCTGTGCCTTGCAGAGTCCCCCAGTCTCAGCCCGATCCCTCAGGAGCCGAGTTCCGGCTGGAATCCTGGCAGGGCTGGCTTTGCATCCCTTCCCGAGGTCAGCGCTGCTCCTTGCGCAGCCTGGGAGGTCAGGGAGGAGCTTTGGGCAGCTCGGCGTGGGGAATCCCTCCGCTAGCCCAGGGCACACACACTGACAGTCTCGGGCTGCTCCTCCCCCTGCGGGGGCTCGGTGAAGCCGTCCCCGAAGCCCTCGGCCGGCACCAGCTCGGGTTTCCTGCGGCACATGGGGCACAGGCGGTTGCGCACGGCCGATGCTCGCATCCACACGATGAGGTTCCAGCGCTCCCCCGAGGCGATGGGCAGCGCCCCGTGGATCTGCCCCCCTCGGTGCAGCAGCCCCCGGCCCCACACGTGCTCCACCTCGATGTACCGGGGCACCGGGCAGGGGTCCTGCAAAGGCAGGGGGATTTGTGTCACACCAGCAAAGCCCTCAATGGTTTAAATTTGTCACCTCTTACCCACAGCACCCAGGCAGCACCACGGAGAGGGAAAAGCCTCATTCCCAGTGCCAAGTTCAGAGGGAATTTAGAGATTCGAGAAAAAAAAACCACTTTTCACTGCTGTGTGAGAGCTTCTACCCCTCTCTTGCCCTAAAAACAGGTGCTAGAGATGCAGGTTGAATCACATCTGAAATAAATCTCTCCCTCAGCACCTCCCTGCTCAGTTTCAGATGTGGAGAGAGGGGATGGTTTGTCTCCAGTTTTTACTGTGAAGATGTATCAGCCCTCTCTTTAAAATACTGAATATTGGTATTGGATGTTGGAATATTGCAGCAAAAGAGGCTCCTGTATAGCCAAGCCATGGGGAAGGGACAGAGCAGGTGAGACTGTCAGAAGTGAAGAATTGTTTTGTAGGACACAGGGGATGCCTGGCAGCTGAGAGGGACGAGGAGGGAGAGGTGGGTGGGACGTGCTCAGTACCTCGTTGAACTCCCCAAAGTACAAATTTCCTTCTGTGAATTCTTTTCCCAGGGAAACGTTCAAGGTGACCTCGGCGTTGTCGTAGTGGGAGCTGAGGTCCAGGTCCTGGTGCAGGGCGTACTTGACGGCGAAGGCTCTGTGGCTGTCCAGGCAGGCCCCGCCCAGCTCCGGGTACAGCAGCGCCGTCAGCGGCCGCAGCCGCTCCCGCAGCGGCGTCAGGAGCCGCTCGTCCATGCCCAGCTCGCTGAGCAGAACCTGCGCCAGCACAGCGCGGGGAGCAGCTCAGCTCAGCTCAGCAGCTCCTCAGAGCTCTGCCCTCCTCCTGCCCCAGCCCCAGGGCTTTGGGGCAAAGGGAAAAGGAAGGAGGATCAAGGTGGAGAGGGATGGGGAGAACACAGAGTAATAAGATTAAAAGGTGAGTGTTGTTTAAAAACTCTCCTTGACTGAAATTTGGAGGAAAAAGAAGCACAGGGGATGAGTCCTACCCCATAGTTGTTCATGGTGTTGGGCCTGCCCTTAGGCATGTCTGAGTGCTCAAAGTTCTCCAGCTCATCCAGCAGGGCCTGGCAGAACTGCTCTGTGAACACTGGGAGCCGATAGATCCTCTTGTCTGTCAGGGACAGAGGGACAGACGTGCTGGGGACGTTCCCAGTGCTCCTGCTGGCAGGGACAGCACAGCACCCACAGGCTCCCCCTGTGCTGGGACCATTCCCTGGGTCAGCCCTGGGGTATTTGTTGTTTTTCATGCTGGTCCCTCATTTCCAGAGCAGAAGGTTCTGTCTGGACCTGGTGCCCTGGATAAATGCAGGAGCTCTGCACACAGACATTGCTGTCCTTTGCCTTGAGGGAAGGAGGCAGCTCTGCCTCTCCCCCTGTGCATCTTGGCAGCTTTTCTGGCAGGCAGGGAGCTTCACTGCTGCCTCCAGGGAAGCTGGAAACCCAGCTCTCCTTTTCAAAGACTGAAATCCAGGCTGAAGCTGTTTCAGCCCGGACTAACCCACAGGGACTGTCTGCAATGGGAAAGCACCCAGGGAGGAAAGCCAAGCTCCCAGTGCTCCCTCAGCAGCTCCTGGTGAGGTGTGGAACAAGCAGAACCGCAGCCCTGCTGCAGCTGGAGGCCCTGGTGAGACATCAGCAGGATGGAAAGCAGAAAACAGGCTCAGATCCAGAGCTGCTGCCTCTGCAGAGCCCCTCCTGAGGCAGGAGGAACATCCTGTGAGCCCCAGCTGTGCCACAGCAGAGCTGCTCCACACAGGGAACAGCTCTCACCAGGGAGCTCTGTGATCAGAGGTTGTTTTCTTTACCTGAGAAGGACTCGAGGTAGCTCAGGAGGCCCTGGAGATCAGCACCTGGAGATGTGCAGAACCTCTCGATTTCCAGAAACTCCGGGGCCAGGAAGGAGTCCTGGTGTCAAGGGAAGGATGGGAAAATCACACAGAAACAGATCAGAGGGAAATGGCTCCCAGGGAAGTGCCCAGTCCCTGGGGAGCAGGGCTGAGCACACCTGGGTGGTTCCACAGCAGGAAATGCAGAATGGCTCTGCTGCTTTACCTGCTGGGGCAGGGCAGCTGCTGCTTGCTTTGGTTCGTGGCTTTTTTAGGAGTAACTGGCCAGATTTATCACAGACATGACAGGAAAGAGCCTTTCCTGGCTGGAACACCAGGAACCTTGCCTGGAGAGCACACTGTGCTGTTTTTAAAGTTTTAAATCCAGTTTTTGTATGCTACACCTGTGTTTTAATTCAGTGTAGCTTTAGTAGTGTGCAATCCTGAGGAGAGGGGGAAACAAACTGCAAAAATAAAACTCTCAGGTGATTTTTTCCTGCGTGCAAAAGGGATTCCAAACCTCGTGTGTACCTGCAGCGTGTACACCTCTGGGTGTTTTGGTTTGTAGCACTTGGAGATGATGGCTCTGCGTTCCACTGACTGCTGGGGTAGCTGTTTCCTCCTCTGCACTTCTGCCTCAATCTGCAAGTGAACAACAGAGCACACTGTCAGAAATCAGCAGGGCTGAGGGAAACAGCTCCAGGAATCTGCTCCTTGTTTCAATCCAGTTATTTGTGTTTGGGGGCACCTCTGGGACACAAAGTGTTTGGCTTAAAAAGTGACTGAGGACTTTCCTGTGGAAGTGTCAAGTGGAGCTGTGAGCTCTCAGCCCTTTCAGGCATTCTGACACCTCCAGAATCTGGTTTTTGTTCTGACAATAGAGGCATTGTCCAAAATAAAGACATTTGCTGGGAGTGAGACAAGTGCTGTCATGAAGGGATTACTGCTAAGTGTGGTGCAGACAGGCTGAGCTGCCCTTCCAGAGCAAACAGCTGATCCAGGCAGCTCCTCCCATTGTTCACTTCCCCCTCACAGATTCATTTGCAGCAGTCCTCACCGAGGAGAGAGTGAGCAGCCATTCCCTGAGACCAGGCAGCTCCTGTGCTCATTCCCTTTCCCTCAGTCCCTGAAGGTCTTGGGAACCAAGCAGAAAAATCAGATTTCTCTGTGCCCTCCCCCCGCCAGGGACAGCCACTGTCATCTGCTTCCTGCCAGCACTGAGTGACTCCTATTGGTTTGTGTAATTTCTAAGTCTCCTCTATGATGTTTATATTGATACATAAACTTTGTATGAAGGTCTGAGCAGATCTGCAGAGAGCCCAGGTGATTAAAAAGTGCTTAGGACCGAGGTGATAATAAATTACAGCCAAAGTTAGGACCTTGTTTTATAAATTCTGGATCACATTGCTTGTTGTGCTCCATTGATTCTGCCTGAGAAAATCCTGTGCTGTTCTACTCATAAATTCTCTGCTGTATGAATCATAATTATCCAGTTAATAAAGTTTTAATTACAGTATGATTTACAGCCACCATCACTCTGCCAAGAATTCCTAAAAGAACTTGTCTGTCCCCTTGGTGTCAGGTGACATTGGAGTTGGTGAGGGACTGATCCCTGTCCCTGGCCTGGAAAGAAGCAGAAATTCCGTGAAAAAGGGTGAATTTCTGCAGGAACCCATCTTGGGTCTGCCTTTAAAAACGATTAGCACAGGAAGGGAAAAGGAAAGACAAAGGAGGGCACTGGGAGGCAGCGGAGTAAATCCAGGAGGGAGCGGCTGGGATGTGTTGACTGACAGGATTTAATCGCAGGGTGGCGGCTGAATAAACTCCGCGCTGA